TGATGGCCGAGTGCTGTGATGTGCCGAGTGTGGGCACTCAGGGCACTCCAAGCCAGGACTGCTTTGCAAGTGGGGAACCCCTGAGAACTGTCTGTCTGGGGTGGGGGTCGGGTCCCTTTAAGCACAGCCCTCAGCTAGCCTGAGGCAGCAGCTCCATGCTCTAATTCCTAATCTGATGCCCTGCCGGCACTGCTTCCAGCCATCCTTAACCTCAGTTCAGGGTCCACTCAGTGTGGACATGCTAGTTCGAATTAGCAAAACGCTAATTCGAACTAATTTTTTAGTCTAGATGCACTAGTTCGAATTAGCTTAGTTCGAATTAACTAATTCGAATTAAGTTAGTTCGAATTAGCGCTGTAGTGCAGACATACCCATAGCGACAGGATAGGCCAGCCCTCAAACATTGATCAGAAACTGCCTTTAGTTTCTAGGTCACATGGTAGCATGCACCTTCGACACCCCAAACACCAGAATATTCATTAGGGCTCTGTCTACATGTAGCACGTTGGAATAGGCAAATCTAGACATTATTCTCCGGAAAATAACGCCTTTTCCAGAGGATTTCTTATTCTTGAAAGTAGGAATAAGAAATCCCCCAGAAAAGGCTTTATTTTCGGGACAATAACATCTAGACTGGCACTTTTCTCCGGCTTTTCCCCAAGCCGGAAAAAAGCGGCAGCCATGTTAATGCAAATGCCGTGGGGGATATTTAAATCCCCCACGGATTTGCCTATTCCAAAGTCTACATTAGCATCCCTTTTCCGGAAAGGGGTGCCAATGTAGACACAGCTTAGGTGTTTTCAAATGTAATAAGGGTCGTGACCTAATGCCTCTGTGTGGGATCCGTACACAGTGTACAAGGTCAATTGCTACTTTCGTTGCATTCCTTAAAGATCTCCCTATCTCAGAAATCTGCAGAGCAGTGACTTGGATCCCTGTCTACACTTTTGCAGAACATTAGAAGATTACTGGAGATTCAGCTTTTGGCAACATCTTTGGCTCCTCAGTACTTTCTGTAATAACAAACACCACTCTGAAGTCCTCACCCTCCATGGGGGATACTGCTATGAAGTCACCTATAGTGGAGAACCAAAGAAGAAGAGGAAGTTAACACGTATAGTAATAATAGTTCTGGGTATGTCTACACTACCCCGCTAGTTCGAACTAGCGGGGTAGTGTAGACCCTTTTAGATGTTTGCCCCATGGATACTCCACAACCTGCCCTTCTCCCCTCTACTTTGAAATTCTCTATAACAGGCTCTGCAGTAGAGACGGAACTGAGGGGTTTTTACCTGTGCACTGCTAGATAACCTTGAGGCAGCCTACAAGGGAGAGTGGGCTCCTGTGCTGGCTGATGGACTCTGTTGCTGAAGTTCTCCAATCAGTAGTGCAGGGATGCAAGTATACCTACAGCTGAGCACCATTGTTACTGTAGGAGGTGGATAATTTCATCTTTGTACTACCTGTCTATGAAGACTTGCCTTTTATAGTGGTATTACCTGTATATACTTCACAAGGACAAAGTGACTGAGACGTCACACATTGTTTTTAATTAATGTGGTTTGTGATTTGCCTCTGAATCAGATGAATCATCTACCTCTTTTCTTCCCTGAGTCTTCCATTACTCAGTGGGATGCCAAAATTAATACCTTTGCTATTTTCAGGTATTTCTATTTATAGAGCTATTCATGGAATCTTGACTACTTCTTGCATTTGCCGACATAGCAAACTTATGTCTGGGAAAGGTCTAGGCTGGATGTTAGGGAAAACTATTTTACTAGGAGGGTGGTGAAGCACTGGAATGGGTTACGCTAAGGAGGTGGTAGAATTTCCATCCCTACAAGTTTTTAAGTCCCGGCTGGGGTGATTTAATTAGGGTTGGTCCTGCTTTGAGCAGGGGGTTGGATTTGATGACCTCCCGAAGTCACTTCCAACCCTATGATTCTATGCTTAAAGACTGTCAAAATGAATCTTGGACTACATTAGTGCTATAAGTTTGTCTGTGTCAGAGCTGCTTGAGAAAGTTGAAGCTCATTTAATCAGAGCCCAGTCTGCCTCTGCTGCATCTATTTTACATGTAAAGTTTCAGAGATTTGTAAACTCATACCTGGAGTTTAGTTTATACCTTCATGCATCATGATTCCTTGGAAAGGGGCTCTAGAGGTGTAATAGAACTTTCCTGTAATCATCTAGAATTCTGAGCATCCAACTCAGGACATAAGTTATTCTTGTGAGTCAGTAGAAGTGGAGTACATGTGGACATTCACTGAGAGGAAAGGGCAGTCAGTTACTTACCCTATAATAAGAAGTAACTTGTTGTTTGATATGGTTTCTCTGCCTCTGTTCTACACTTTACCCTCTTTCCCCACTATTGAAGAGTTCTTGCTAATTTGGAGATTCTATTAGTGAAAAAAACTGGGGAGTGATTATGGATGCCATACACTTTAAGCCTTTGGCTATGGAGCATTGCAGAGAGTGTAGGGTGTAGCTGCAGTCCCCAAAGGATACTATTGTTGAAAAGACTCTGGTCTTTTATGCATGGAGTCTGTGCACAGCATAAGTAGAATACCTGGTTACAACACATCTCAAATAACTAGTTACCAGCAGCCTAAATAACTGCTCTTTTTAGTGGCAATATTTTATAAAAAGAAGTGTCTAGTGATAGAGTAGGTCACTTTACACTGTTGAAAAAGTACAAGAGTCTTAGGCTACATTTACACTATGAGCAAGGGCTGGGATTCCCAGATTGTGAATACATGCTTGCATTAACTCTCATCTGCACTATCACACTCAAAATGGTGTGTCTGTAGTAGTATGGGCTATGGCAGCAATGGCCTAGACTTGCTACAGTTTCTGTGCTACAGTCTGTATACTACTATACTGAGTATGCTAGCTCAGATAAGAGCATATGTGAGCTGGCAATCAGACCCATAAACAAGGCTTTTGTGTGAATAAAAATACATTCCTTTATCTCCATCTCTCTCACTTCATTTTGTTTTTTTAACTGCATTGTTTCTAACATCTTTCTGATAATTTTGATAAAACAGATAAAAATATAACAATAGAAATAATTTAAAAGTGTGTTTGTTTGTGATATTATTGAACAACAAAATGACTGTTTCATTTCATTTAGGTTATCCATTCAGCCCTCAGAAAACTGGACAAAGATCTCACAACAGTGGAAGAATTTATTGAGCACTTGACTTTCCTGAGCCAAATTTCTTCAGAGTTGCCAATGCTAGAGACTCAATATAACACACTTTCTCAATTGTATTCTATTGCAAGAACCTATGGCTTTTTTATTCCTGTTGAACAATTTGCCATATATCAGACCCTTACGCGCAGTCTGCATGATCTCAAATCAAGTATCTTTATTAGTGAAAAAGGAAAAAATGACAATATTATAAAATTTAGTGCAGATTTGGATGGCTATTTTGGCAACCTGCAATTTGAACTTAGGAAATTTAAGAACAAAGTAAGTTACTTGTCTGTTAAGAAAACACTTTTTTTGTCTTTAGAGGTTTAGTCCAATGGTTTTCAAACTTTTTTCTTCTCATGACCTGATTAAAGGCTTGTGACCCAAGATCATTTGACTAAAGTCTGTGTTCTGGGGTGGGGCTGAGGATGAGGGCTTCAGCTTTGGGGGTCAGACAGGGCTGGGGCAGGAGGGGTTACCTCAAGTGGCTCCCAGTCAGTGATGCAGTGGCCTACTAAGGCAGGCTTCCTGTCACTCCTAGCATTGCAGACCATACTGTCCTCCTGAAGCAGCTAGCAGCAGGTTCTAGCCAATGGGCGGGTGGAGCTAATGCTCAGGGCAGGAGCAGTAAACAGACCCTGTGTGCTCTTTTGGCCCCCTCCCCTCCCCCCAGCAGCCGGCCTGATGCTGGCCACTTCTGGGGCACAGCTCAGTCTGTGATGCCAGGAGAAGCAGGAAGCCTGCCTTATCTCCCCCACTGATCACCCTGCAACAACAATACCCAGTGCCTGATGTTCTGTGACCCAGTACTAGATCATGACCCATGGTTTGAAAACCACTGGTCTAGTCTAATGGATTGAAAATGAATTTAAGAATGAGGAGCTCAAGCATTCTGATCCTAATGATCATTCTGTCTCATATTGTGGCCTTGGGCAAATTCCCTGGAGTATATCTACGCTTGCACCCTCTTGCAAATGAAGACATTCGAAATTACAAATGAAGTTGGGATATAAATATCCTGCTCTTTATTTGCATATTCACATTGTGGAGCTATTTCAAAATAGCGCTATTTCAAAATAATAGATGCGGTGTAGTAGCAGTTATTTCGAGAGAAAACCCTTCTCTCAAAATAACTGGTAAACCTCATTGTATGAAGAATACGGGTTATTTCGAGAGAAGGGTTTTCTCTCGAAATAACTGCTACTACACATGTTATTTTGAAATAGAGCTATTTTGAAATAGCACCACAACGCGAATATGCAAATGAAGAGCGGGATATTTAAATCCAAGCATCATTTGCAATTTTGAACATCTTCATTTGCATCCCTCTCTCGAAAGAGGGTGCAAGTGTAGACATACCCTTGGATACACATAGCTATAATGCTATGTGCTATATACTTAGTATATGCTTAATTACCACTTACTGCAATACAAATAAAGTATCACCCAGAGGCCAGATTGTGCTATGTGCTGGATAAACAACAAAACTGTTCTTGACCAAAAGAACATATACAATCTGTATTTAAGACAGACTACATGGTACAACAGTTAGTGGCAGAGCAAGGTGACAATGAAATGATGGTTATCAGAATGTTAAACTGTCATAGCACATTAGTTGCCTAAGTATAGTCAAATATGTTGTGGGAGTCGAAGCATAAGTGGATATTACTGCACATTAAGTGGAGTTTTAATGTCTTTAAGTGCTTTGTGGGTTCAGGTTGCACTTAAAATGTGCTTAAAGTCAAGCGCATACTTAAGTGTTTTGCTGAATTGGGGTCAAAATATTATAGATTATATAGAGATATAATTAATGTATTCAGTTATTGTCACCAGCTTCATTTTTGGAAAATGGAGCCCTCTCCTGAAAAATAAACAAGTTAATTAATATTCAGTATGTAGATGTACACCATACAAGCACTTAAAGTGATAATGAAGTTTGCACAAGAAATGCTAGTTCAAATTTGTATATATAATCAAATTTACTCAAATGTTTACTTTCTGAGCACTACATACTGGTTGAATTGCCACTGCAGCTGTGTCTAGACTGGCATGATTTTCTGGAAATGCTTTTAACGGAAAAATTTTCCGTTAAAAGCATTTTCGGAACAGAGCGTCTAGATTGACACGGACGCTTTTCCGCAAAAGCACTTTTTGCGGAAAAGCATCCGTGCCAATCTAGACGCGCTTTTCCGCAAAAAAGCCCCGATCGCCATTTTTGCGATCGGGGCTTTTTTGCAGAAAACAAATCTGAGCTGTCTACACTGGCCCTTTTGCTCAAAAGTTTTGCGCAAAAGGACTTTTTCCCAAATGGGAGCAGCATAGTATTTCCGCAAGAACACTGACAATCTTACATGAGATTGTCAGTGCTTTTGTGGAAATTCAAGCAGACAGTGTAGACAGCTAGCAAGCTTTTCCGCAAAAGCGGCTGATTTTCTGGAAAAACTGGCCAGTCTAGACACAGCCTGCAAGTGAAATACTCATACCCAAAAAGTCATTAATAATGGTGAATGGAATCCCAGAGAGGTGCTACTGAGATTGCTCAATTAGGACAAGCTGCTAAGAATGGGGCAGACAGTCTCCCAAATTGTTGGTTATTTTAATACATCTGGTCCCCATAACTCAATCTGTTCATAAGTCGGATTACATTCACTTAAGTTCGGCCGCGCTGTTCGTAAGTGAAGATTTCATTCATAACTCGGGGACCGGCTGTATAGGAGGTTGGTCGTAAAGACTAACGGTCGTAAGTCGATGCGTTCATAACTCGGGGACCGGCTGTACTTAGATTCGCCAAGCTAGAAAAACAGTTTCTACAATACCTTCCTGGTTACCCAGAAACAAAAACACAGTTCCCTTGAAGCAGGGGTGGGCAATAATTTTTTTCCGGGGGCCACTTCAGGAAGTGGCGGGGCCTCAAATGGAAGAAGCCGGGCTGGGGTACTTCCATGTTCCCCACCCCAGACCATAATTGGTCTGGGGGTGGGGGAGAATCTATGCCCACACGCCCTCCCAGGTGCCCATGCCCCTGGCTGCAAGAAGTCCTCCCATGATCCCCTGCTCTCAGGCCAATCAGGGCCTGGGGATGGTGGAGCTCGTGAAGTCTTCTCCCACACTGCCAGGAGTGTGCAGCACGTCTAAGTGGTGCATGCTCCTCACAGGGCGGGGACAAGGTGGAGGAAACTTCGCATGCTCCTCTGCCCCCAGGGCCTGAGTGGCCTGTGGGCAGGGGAGTGCGTGAAGCCTCCACCAACCTTGTCAGGAATGCATGGTACTTTTAAGCCCACATGCTTCTTGCAGGGTGGAGACAGAGCAGAGGAAACTTTTCACACTCCCCCACCCCCAGGTACTGATTGGCCTGGGGGTGGGAGAGTGCATGAAGGTTCCTCCAGCCCCGTCAGGAGTGCCTGGCACTTCCAAGCGCCACGTGCTCCTGGAAGGGTGAAGGAAACTTTCGCATGCTCATTCCGACCCCAGGCCCTAATTGGCCTTGGGGCAGGGGAGCGGCAAGGCCTCCGCAGGCTGGATTCATCCGCTTGGTGGGCCGGATCCTGCCCGTGGAGGCCCTTTTGCCCACCCCTTCCTTAAAGCATCACATCTTTAAGCTTTCATCTTGACAACGAAGTCAAATATGATTACTAAAAGTCTCTTTCATCATATAAAAAATTCTACAAGTCCTAAAGGTTCAGACACATTACCCATCAGGTCAATGACTCTCATACAAATACATGCTTTACAGCCCATTTTTATTAACTTAACTAAAATGTATTAGAAAAGAGAGTGAGTATTGGTTAAAACATCATTACACATACACATATGAGCAGAGTTCTTATACCAGTTACATAGTACAGTGAGCTCTAGAGATGCAAAGAGTTCTTTCAGAATTAGTTTATAGTGGGGATGGGCAATAAAACAGCAGTGGTTCACCATAGGTAGCCCCTGCTGGGTCACTGTCATATTGACCTACACCTACTCAGGTACTGGTGCCCACAGCTCCCACTAGATGGGAACTACGATGTATGATCAATTGGAGCTATGATCCCCTGTACCTGTGGAGGCTCATGTAAATATGGTGGTGTGGGGGCCTGCCAGGATCTACCTGGGGAGACTGGATCCTGCCCATGGGTTATATAGAGTCCAGTGGCCAATATCAGTGATACAAAGGAGATTGAAGACCTCAGTCTTGTGACTCAGATGTCCTCTGATGAAGCTTAAGCAGAGCTGAGATGACAGGATCAGGGCTGCAAAGTTCTTTTTATAGTTGTCCAGCAGCCTCTTGACAGCATGCAGTCCTTGGGTGAATAATAGGCAGTTACTGTAGTTTTGAAATAGACCTTCTATGCCCAAAGCATCACTGGTAATTAGCTTCCTAGATTAATATAAGACAGCTGCCCCCTCTAGCTATTTACAAGTCATTCACTATATATTTCAAAGATAAATTAGGCAAGTGATATTATTACATTGATAGTTCATCTAAATGTTAGCATATTTTGATCTCTGAATTAACAGAATGCAGCCATAATAAAAATAATTTTAAGACTTGTATATACCTCTTTCTTCTTCTGGTAAGTGTAGATTTTTGTTAAATTGCATGTGCATGCAGCAGAATAGACAATAACAACGCAGTGAAAGGTTAGAAATTCATAAAGAATTGAGAATTTTTTCAAATATTTAACTATGCACATATTTTAAAAGTTATATATGGATACTGTAATTAATTGCTTACTAATAGTAGGTTCCAGATCTAGACATTCTTAGAACACATTTTGACATTTTTTGTTACATAGGTAAGAAATCCAATTCTTCTGCTTAGCAAAACATTGCTTAAGACAGCTAAAGAGATGATCCAAAGTCTTGTGGAAGAAGCTGCAGTTATTTCTAACAAATCCAGAAGTTATGCAAAATACCAGGATCTCTTTGACAGTTCCATTGCTGACATGAGATCACTTTCATTGGAAAAGATGCCGCAGACGAGTCAAGTTGGAGATTCAAGTTCTCAAAGACTGAATAAAGAGCTCTCTGAAGTTGAAAGTGAATTAGCTTTACTAAAACTCTTGTGGGACTCACTGGAGGAATGGGGGAAGCTTTCTCATAAATGGAAATATACATTTTTTGAGAACCTTGATGTAGATTTAATACAAAAGAATGTTAGCAGACTTATGCAGATAGCACAGATGCTAGAAAAAGGTAAAACTATTAAGATCACTAGTTTGAGACTTATAGCCATTCATCAGTGTATTGAGGGAAACAAAATATTTAGAAACTATGGGCTAGATCCTCAGCTGGTTAAATTAGAATAATTCCAGTTACTAGGTATTCACTGATTTTCATCACTGTTTTCTTATTCTACAAAATAAAAGTGTGAGATGCAAAGATGTTGCTTTGGTGGTGTGTTCATAGACGCTTTGAAACTTAAAGAAACTGTCTTTTTCCTCTTCTTCTGAAGGGGCTAATTGTGTATGGGCTTGTTCAAATTATAGAATGTGAAAATACTGATGTCCAAATTATTCAAAAAGCCATTTGAATAAAATTAGTATTGTATTTTAATATGTTCTTGTAAATGATGGCAATGAGAGCAAATTGATATGATAATGCAGCACAGATAGCAGGATGTTAAAGAAAACTTTGTTAAAGAACTTTGTTAAAGAAAAAATTGTTACATATACTTATATATATGTAGTATCTGCTTACACAAACTGAAATGAAAGTCTGATATACTTCAAACATTTTATATTTTCCAAGGTTTACCAGAAAATAATATTGTAATAGATCTGAAGCAGTCACTGATGGATTTTAAAGAAGGCTTATCTGTGATTGTGTCTTTAAGAAGTCCTTGTCTTCAACCAAGGCATTGGGAAGCTATACAAGATATTATTGGAAAATCCATTTCTTGGGATAAAAAGTTGACTCTGGATGAAGTTCTGCAACTCAATGTAAATTTATATTGCATTATTTATTTCTGACTCAGGAACTGATTTAATATTTGTGTGTTGTAAAATGTGGATATAATTAATTACAATTTTTATATCTTAAGCAGCTGAATTTTATTAAAGTTTTACAGTTAGTTTTTAAGTACATAATCCAGTCTACTATTACTGCTCCACTTCTGGAACTTTAATAGGGACACTGTTAGAAGGCAGCATTTTATCCCGCAAGCACGGCAGGCGGAAGAGCCAGAGAGGGCAGTACAGGACCAGGAAGAGAACTGGCAGCATGTAACTTCTAGAAGGGGAAAAAGGTCAGCACGGGAATCCCCCAATGCTATAGAGGTAAGTAATCGCTTTCAGGATCTCTCCGCAGGCTCTGCAGTGGTGAATGCTTTGGAAGAGACCTCACAAGGAAGAAACCGCAAGGGAACACCATCTACTGGAAGGCATGGGATGCATAGCCCTAGGGATAGATGTTCCACGACCACCACCCCCAAAAGAAGACGATGGGTGGTGGTGGTCGGGGACTCCCTCCTAAGAAGGACTGAGCCATCCATCTGCCATCCGGACCTGGAATCTCGAGAGGTGTGCTGCTTACCGGGAGCTCAAATTCAGGATGTGACTGAGAGGCTTGCCAAACTGATCAAACCTTTGGATCGCTACCCCTTCCTGCTTCTCCATGTGGGAACTAACGATACGGCCAAGAATGACCTTGAGTGGGTTACTGAGGATTATACAGCGCTGGGAAGAAGGATCCAAGAATTTGGAGCGCAAGTGGTATTCTCATCCATCCTCCCTGTTGAAGCGAAAGGACTGTGCAGGGATCGTCGAATTGAGGAAGTAAATGCGTGGTTGCGCAGGTGGTATTGCAGAGAGGGCTTCAGTTTCTTCGACCATGGGACTCTGTTCTGGGCACAAGGTTTGTTAGGAAGAGATGGGATCTAACAAAGAGAGGAAGGAGCATCTTTGCGGGCAGGCTTGCAAACCTAGTGAGGAGGGCTTTAAACTAGGTTTGTTGGGGGACAGTGACCAAAACCCTGAGGGGAGTGGGAAAGTTGGATACCAGGAAGAAATGCAAAGATGAACGAGCAAGAAAGGAGGACGCCTGATTCAAATGGAGAAGATAGGACAATCAACTGGTTATCTGAGGTGTTTGTACACTAATACAACAAGCCTGGGCAACAAACAGGGAGAACTGGAGGCCCTGGCCCAGTCCAAGAAATATGATTTAATCGGGATAGCAGAGACTTGGTGGGATGACTCGCATGACTGGAGCGCAGTCAAGGAAGGGTATATACTGTTCAGGAAGAACAGGCAGGGGAGAACAAGCCTGGGCAACAAACAGGGAGAACTACTTTCGGAATATAGGCATAAACTGAAAGTGAGCTCCACGGCTGCTCAGACCTGTTCCTTACCATTGCAAGCAACCTCCATATGCAATCACACTCATAGATTTGTCCATCTCTATCTTAAATATCATTAATTTTTGTCCCCACAACTCCTGTAGGGAGGCTATTCTGGAACCTCACTGCGTTGAGGATTAGAAGCTTTCTTATAATTCCCAGCATGAATTTGTCCATGGCCAGTTAATATCCACATGTTATTTTGCTGACATTGTGTTTGAGCTTAAATAGCTCTTCACCCTCCATGATATTTACCTCCCAATATAAAAAGCAATCATATCTCCTCTCAGCCTGCTTTTTGCTCAACTGATTGGGTAAAGCTCTTCAGCTCCTCTCGTACAGTAGACTTCTAGTCCCTTGATCCTTCCAATAGTTTTTCTCTGCATCTGTTCTAGTTAAAATTAAATATACAAGTGTGTTACCGTTTAAATAGTTTCTATTACGGTTACACACCATCTTCCAGCCCTGCTCCTGGAGAGCTGGCTGATGCCCTGCACTGCTGGCTCTGTATCAGGGTCTGTAACGCAGGGCAGCAGCTGGCTCCCCAGAAGCGGGGCCAGCATAAGCCAGCTTCCGTCACACACCACCTCCCGGCTGCCAGCCCTTCTGCAGAACCCGCAATCTGTAACCACTAAGTTTTTTATTGGATACAAGGTTACATTAGCGATGAGGAGTCCTGTGGCACCTTATAGACTAACTGAAGTGTAGGAGCATAAGCTTTCGTGGGCAAAGACCCACTTCGTCAGATGCATGTAGTGGAAATTTCCAGAGGCAGGAATAAATATGCAGGCCAGGATCAGGCTGGAGATGACCAGGTGGATCCAATCAAGGAGGATGAGGCCCACTTCTAGCAGCTGATCTGGAGGTGTGAATTCCAAGAGAATAGAAGCTGCTTTTGTAGTTAGCAAGCCATTCACAGTCTTTGTTTAATCCAGAGTTGATTGTGTCAAACTTAAAGATGAACTGTAGCTCAGCAGTTTCTCTTTGAAGTCTGGTCTGTTTAGTCTGCAGAAGCGAAGAATGAGGGGGGATTTGATAACAGCCTTCAACTTCCTGAAGGGAAGTTCCAAAGAGGGTGGAGAAAGGCTGTTCTCAGTAGTGACAGATGGCAGAACAAGGAGCAATGGTCTCAAGTTGTGGTGGAAGAGGTCCAGGTTGGATATTAGGAAAAACTATTTCACTAGGAGAGTGGTGAATGGGTTACCTAGGGAAGTAGTGGAGTCTTCATCCCTAGCCGCATTCAAGTCTCAGCTTGACAAAGCCCTGGATGGGTTGATTTAGTTGGGATTGGTCCTGCCTAGAACAGGGGCTGGACTTGATGACCTTCTGAGGTCTTTTCCAACTCTATGGTTCTATGATGATTGTATGACTGTATATGTTGCAGGAACTTATACTCCAGTTATTTAGTAAAATATCTGTATTATATCTTGTTCAACCCTGAGTAATACATTTTTCCACTTCAGTTGTTTCAGTACAAGAAAGAAATAAATGATGTATCAGTAATAGCAACCAATGAAGCCATCCTGGAAGTAATGCTTAATAAGATAATTAACCTTTGGAATAAAACTAATTTCCATTTGTCTCTTCACCGCTCTGAAACGTCAACTGTCATGATTATTTCATCTCCTGAAGATATTATGGCTCAGTTAGAAGAATCTCAAATAACAATTTCAACAATTAAGGGTTCTTGCTATGTTGGGCCAATTAAGGTAAAGATTACACATTTTCTGTTTGTTTTTAAGGAGTCTTAATTGTTTATATACCTGTGCACAATTTATTGTTTTGAGACTCAGCCCAGATTGCAACTGTAAATGGACTTATTTTATAGCTCCTAGAACCGATTTACTATTATTAAAAAGATGCTGCTGGGGATTGCAGCTGTATCAGTATATTAAAAGTAAACCAGATATAGCAGCTAGATCTTCTGAGGATCCCTTTTGAAATTTCTGCTTGCCCTTTGTTTAAAGCAAATGTAGATAAGTGTATTTTTGTTAAAAAGTATGTAGAAATAGGTTCACAGAATTTATTATTTAAATAGTATAAAACAAACTTATGGCATATCTTAGTAAGAGTTTTTTTTTTTTTTTCAAATACAAGCAGTTAGCTCCTAATGACACAGGATTTTTGTCGCATTATGTGACACGTGTAGAAATTTTGTATGTACTGTTATGCTATAGTCTGCTCAAAACTCCATCAAAATTTTGTTTGGGAGTCCTTCAATAAAATACCTTGCAGAAGTAAGACTTTCTAATAAATTTACGTTTTATATTATAATATTTTATATGGTAGAATCTTGTGGATGCATGGGACCGTAAGTTAAACCTCTTCTCTCGCACCCTGGAGGTATGGTTGACTTGCCAAAGGAATTGGATTTACCTAGAACCAATCTTTCACGCTCCAGAAATACAAAGGTATGTATGAATCATGTTGTATCAGGGCAAAATGATCTTAGAAGACAATTGAACCTGAATTATGTTCAAGTATTTAAGAAACAGGGACCAGTTTTTAAGGAAGGATACCTTGGTGATGAATGAGACACAAACAAAGGTGTGGATTTCTAGATTGTGATCTGATGAAGTTTGTCATCCTATGATGGGACCCAATGCTGAGAATTCAGTAATACTGTGAAACTATGTAGCACTTTAAAGACTAACAAGATGGTTTAATAGGTGATGAGCTTTTGTGGGCCAGATCCACTTTGCCCACGAAAGCTCATCACCTATTAAACCATCTTGTTAGTTTTTAAAGTGCTACACATAGTTTTTCCTTTTGTTTTAGCAAGATCAGACTAACATGGCTACCTCTCTATTATTATTCAGTAATACTGTGACAGTGTTTGTCAGGAGGCTTTGTTTTACAAAATCAACCAAGATATACATAGCATGAAAAGAAAACTTAAAACATTTTGGCCTTTTCTGTATATAGAATTATATTAATTAAAAAAAAAGGATTTTGAACTGATTCAATAAAGCTTACAGCAAACCTTTTGTACTGATTCTTTTAATTAGCTTAATTGGATATCAAAGTGAACTAAATTGACATAAACAAGGTTGAAATTGAAAAAGAGTGCCCACTTATGGTTTTACACCAGTTTAACTCAGCTTTTAACACTGCACTTTTATAGATAACACTTAAGAGACTAGCTAAAATTTCCACTTCACTAAAATAATACAGCAGTATGTTTTAACAGAAGCCTTTATCTTGTCTTTTTTGTATAGGATTTTTTAAAATTATTCTTAGCTAACTTCCAACCAGGGGGATGAATGACACAGTTACATGGAGAGAAAAAACTAGGTTACATCCTGTTTACTGGAGTTTTCTGAATACTTTTTCTCCCAAGATCACATTCATCTTTCTCTCCATTGTATCTTTTCTTATATTGGTCAGGAACTCAGGGGATTTGTTAGATATGCATTTTATTATAGAGGTTTTGGCAGTGATAAATGCACGTTCTGGCACTCATAAACTATGGTATGAGAGAAATAAATAGACTGACTAGCCTGTGTTGAAGAAACCACCCTGTGAAAGGTATAATTGCTTTTCAATTGATCTGACTCTGTGGCTCAACATACAAGTCCAAAATGTGTGTTTAGGGAAGTAATACAAAGAGTATAGGGAAAATAAATTGACAAAATGTGAAATTATGTATATTTGAATGTTGCATTCTATAAATTGATTTCTAATAATGTATGTTATTTAAATAGGCAGCTTCCAGCAGAAGCAAGTCTTTTCTCTCAGGTCAATAACAAATGGAAAGAGATAATGGAGTGTACAGAGGATGATCCAAATGCTCTTAGGGCAGCTACAGCTGCTGGAGTCCTGGAGATGCTGCAGACCAACAATGCACATCTTGAAAAAATACAGAAGTCTCTTGAGGTAAGATGACACTAGATCTTCTTACTTCCAGCCCTGCTCCTTATCCACTAGACCATGCTGGAAATCAGTGCTTCTTCAGCAAGTAGTATCCCTGTGGGTGCTCCAATCAGGTCTCAGTATGTGCCTGCACCAGGGATCAGAGATTTTTGTGAGCAGTGCCCCAGGCGCCATGCTTGCACACTTAGCACCCTCCCTCCCCCGAGCTTGTGGAGTGTGCATGCAGCGCGAGTCCTGCCAGTTCCTTTTCAACTGTCCCTGGCTGAAGACACCTACAAAAATCTCCGCTGTCTGATTTAAGAGGAGTAACTGGCTCACTACGCTGCATGGTGCAGGGGAACACTAACTCTTCACAGAGTGGCTCCCACTCACCTACACCACTATCCCCAAGATCTGATTACAGTAGCAGGCATAGGAGCACGCTCTCATCAGGCCACTCTCCTTCTCTGTCATTAACTTCCTGGCATTCATACAGGGATCACTCCCTTCAACAATATCCCATTTGGTCCAGCCAACCGTGGATGTATCCTCCACATCAGCTCCCGCTTCAGTGGAGCTCCTGAGATACATGGCAAGGATACCGGCTGCAGTCCTCCCATACCTATCATTTGAGGCACACAGCCTCTACATCCCAGCAACACCGCACCTCTAGGCACTCACCCACAATCTCTGTATGTTCCTCACCTGCTCACCCACCCTCAGTAATTTCTCAAGTGGGTTCCAGTGAGCATGACAACTTACCTCAGTCAGATTCAGAGACCCTCACATGAACCCAGATCCAGGCAGGAGGAAGCAGTATTCTAGATCTCACCTTCTCCTCTGGCAGATGACCTGAAACATTTTCAGGAACTTTTCAAACAGATAGCCCAATTGCAAGACATCACATTACAAGACGTTACAAACAATTACATTACACATTACAAACAATACAAATTACTCACTATATTACAACCCTCAGCATCCTCAAAAATAGTTTTACCCATCAACAAAGCTATCCTTGAACCTTCGGATGCTTTGTGGCAAAATTTAGCCTCTGTTCATCCCACAAACCGCGGGGTGGACAGAAAGGACATGGACTTTTTATTTGCCCACTCACAGCCAAATTCCCTGGTGGTGGACTTGGTGAATCACAAGGCTAAGAATCCACAATTTAAATCTACACCCAGTGACAAAGAACACAAACAGCTAGACGCTTTGGGCCACAAAGTGTACTCTTTGGCCACTTTCCAGTTCTGTATATCTAATTACACAGCATTGTTAGCTAATTACAATCATGCCAATTATGTCAAATTACAAGACTTGCTACAGGACCTCACCTCCAATCCGTCATTAAGGATGGGTTTGTCAATAGCTAAAACAGCTCTTCAGGCTGCTATGGATGTCGCAGACACCGCAGCTAGAGCCACAGCCATAGTAATGCACAGGGCCTCGTGGCTGCAGTCATCAGGGGTCCCAAGGGAACTACATGCAAGGGTGGAGGATCTCCCCTTTGACAGGAAACAATTGTTTGCTAAAAATGCAGATAAGGTCCTAAACTCTATGAAGGACTCTCGTATGACACTACACACCTTGGGCTTGTACACCAGCCCCAATAAGAAGCGTAAATACACTCCCTACCAAAAACCGAGGGATTATAATTACAACTATTACAGGCAGCAGCAGAGGCAATAGGATAACAGGCCCAAGCAATGCCCTAATAGGAGGAGGAATCAGCAAAACCAGTCCTCCACAAATCAGGCCACTTCTAATAAGCAGCAAATTTGACGTTTTGGTTGGGGGTCTGAGCGACGACTCCACAAGTCCAGTGCAGTCCAGTGTCACCTTCAGTCACCCACCTGAGACCTTTCTAACAACAGTGGGCCCAAATCACCACAGACAAATGGGTCCTAGAAATTATCAAATTGGATTATACTATCCCCTTTACTTCCATGCCCCTTACCCAACCTCTTACCCCGTCCCTTTTCAGGGACCCCTCTCATGAGCTCCTGTTATGGGCAGAGGTGCAAAAGCTACTTACCTTAGGAGCAATAGAACCCATCCCCAAGAAACATTGGGGAAAGGGGTTTTACTCCAATTATATCCTCACAGTCAAAAAAATAGGGTGATGGAGACTGATCCTCAATCTCAGGAAACTCAACAAGTTCATTCTCAATACAAAATTCAGAATGGTGACCTTAGCAACAATCATACCTGCACTGAACAAGGGTGAGTGGTTCTCAGCCCATGACCTAGAAGATGCATATTTCCATGTGACTATCCATCTGTCCCACAGAAGATTCCTCAGATTCGTCGTAGGACAAGTTCATTATCACTACAGAGTCCTCCCCTTTGGCTTCTCTATGGCCCCTTGAGTATTTTTGAAAACCCTAACCATAGTCACAGCCTTTCTCAGAAAACAAAATGTCAGTATCTTCCTTTATATAGACAATTGTCTAATCAAAGGCCCTACCTATCAGTAAACTATCATCATGACAACTATTACCAGGTAATGTTTTTCCTGATGTGGCCTACTTATCAACATGCAACAATCCACCGTCCACCAAAAATCCAGTCCACACAAAAGATAGAGTTCACTGGGGCATTGTTAGACTCAGTCACAGCAAAAGCCTGCCCCCTACCACAAAGATTCAGAGTGATCTGTGATGTCATTCGACAGGTTAGACAGGCCCCCTTCTCTACAGTCCGCACGTGCCTTCAATTACTAGAGCACATGGCGGCCCCGACATTTGTGGTCTTGCTTGTAAGGCTGCACATGCGTTGCCTACAACATTGGCTCTCAATCAACTATATACCAACCTGACCCAGCCTTGCAACTCACCTCTCGCTTCCTCCACCAGTGCTGCAGTCTCTCAAATGGTGGACATCTCCAAACAACCTCCTTGTTGGTATATCCTTCAGTTACTATAAGAACAGATGCAACACTTATGGGCTGGGGAGCCACTGTGGCGCAGCGTCAATACAGGATACATGGGCCCAACATGAGAGACACTTTCACATCCATATCTTAGAGCTCAGGGTCATTTGCAGGGCTTGCGCCCATTTCCTTCCCTTGATAAAGAGCAGAACTATCCGTGACCACATGGACAACACGCTGTCTATGTTTTATGTCAACCGGCATGGGGGTGCCCAATCACACTCTGATTGGGATCTGGTGCATCAGAAACCAGATAACCCCAACGGCCATGTACATACCAGGACAACAGAATGTGAGACCTGACAAGCTGAGCAGACATTTCTCAGATCAGCATGAGTGGGAGATCAATACCAATGTCCTCCTTTCAATCTTCCTCAAATGGGGCTTTCCAACTATAGGACCTCTTTGCAACACCTCACAACTGCAAATGCCACAGATTCTGTTCTCATGCAGGACTAGGCAAGAGATCAGAAGGGGATGCCTTCACCATCCGCTGGATAGATCCCCTTCTTTATGCCTTTTCACCAATTCCGCTTATCGCCAGAGTGATTAACAAGATCCGATCTGATCGGACCACAGTAATTTTAATAGCCCCAGTCTGGCAGAGACAGCCCTGGTTCTTCTTCGAGTAGTGTCCCCGTGGGTGCTCCACTGTAGGTGAAGGGTTGCCCTGAGCCGCAGATCGGAGCTTTGTATAGCAGTTTCCCCTGTTGAGCCACGCATGCCCAGGAGGCGTCTCGAGCCCTTCCCGCCTCCTGAGGAGCGTGACTCAACCCCCTCCCTTTCAGTTCCTCTTCAACCGCCCTCGTCAGCGGACGGAGCAATGTAGAAATAGGTTCACAGAATTTATTATTTAAATAGTATAAAACAAACTTATGGCATATCTTAGTAAGAGTTTTTTTTTTTTTTTCAAATACAAGCAGTTAGCTCCTAATGACACAGGATTTTTGTCGCATTATGTGACACGTGTAGAAATTTTGTATGTACTGTTATGCTATAGTCTGCTCAAAACTCCATCAAAATTTTGTTTGGGAGTCCTTCAATAAAATACCTTGCAGAAGTAAGACTTTCTAATAAATTTACGTTTTATATTATAATATTTTATATGGTAGAATCTTGTGGATGCATGGGACCGTAAGTTAAACCTCTTCTCTCGCACCCTGGAGGTATGGTTGACTTGCCAAAGGAATTGGATTTACCTAGAACCAATCTTTCACGCTCCAGAAATACAAAGGTATGTATGAATCATGTTGTATCAGGGCAAAATGATCTTAGAAGACAATTGAACCTGAATTATGTTCAAGTATTTAAGAAACAGGGACCAGCTTTTAAGGAAGGCCACCTTGGTGACGAATGAGCCACAAACAAAGGTGTGGATTTCTAGATTGTGATCTGATGAAGTTTGTCATCCTATGATGGGACCCAATGCTGAGAATTCAGTAATACTGTGAAACTATGTAGCACTTTAAAGACTAACAAGATGGTTTAATAGGTGATGAGCTTTTGTGGGCCAGATCCACTTTGCCCACGAAAGCTCATCACCTATTAAACCATCTTGTTAGTTTTTAAAGTGCTACACATAGTTTTTCCTTTTGTTTTAGCAAGATCAGACTAACATGGCTACCTCTCTATTATTATTCAGTAATACTGTGACAGTGTTTGTCAGGAGGCTTTGTTTTACAAAATCAACCAAGATATACATAGCATGAAAAGAAAACTTAAAACATTTTGGCCTTTTCTGTATATAGAATTATATTAATTAAAAAAAAAGGATTTTGAACTGATTCAATAAAGCTTACAGCAAACCTTTTGTACTGATTCTTTTAATTAGCTTAATTGGATATCAAAGTGAACTAAATTGACATAAACAAGGTTGAAATTGAAAAAGAGTGCCCACTTATGGTTTTACACCAGTTTAACTCAGCTTTTAACACTGCACTTTTATAGATAACACTTAAGAGACAAGCTAAAATTTCCACTTCACTAAAATAATACAGCAGTATGTTTTAACAGAAGCCTTTATCTTGTCTTTTTTGTATAGGATTTTTTAAAATTATTCTTAGCTAACTTCCAACCAGGGGGATGAATG